TGTACAGGTGTCTTATTCCTCTACTTGTCGGTATTGTATACCAATGAATAATTTGTTGCATTTTCTTTCAACAGGCAAACAGAGGGACTTACTGATGACGACGATGTTGCAGAAGACCATAATGAGGAGGTTGACGATGGTGAAGATACCGAAGACGTTGGTATAGATGAGGTGTCTGAGGGGAGAGTCGCTGGTGACGTGGATGTTAACGAAGCACCAGGAACCAGGGTACTGCAGTCCATACTGACCTACCCCGAAGAGCGGCAGGGCGCAGAAGAGCACGGAGAAGAGCCAGATGCCCAGAAGCAACAGCCTGGAAGGTAGAGAAGAAATACGAGTGAGAAGCATGGACTGAAAAGCTGTAAATGGTAATGGCGATGTAGACAAGCTGTGGAAATAAACACTTGTGTACGATTCAGGGTGTTTGAAGGAAACGAGCGGCTCCATCAGCCCTCAGTTCTAGGACTGATGAAGCCACTCGTGGCGAAACGAATCCTTTAATAAGTGTCTTGAATTGTACGCAAGTGTTTTATCGACAGCATGAACAGCAGTACTACACAGCAGCAAAAGCCTTGAGGGCAAGGAAAGAACACGAATGAAGAACAAGAACACTGAGATTATCCGGTAACAGCCTGAGATGTGGATAAAAAGCATGAATGAACACAAAGAATACCCAGCTTGCCCGGTAGTACACGTTGTTACACTGGCAGCATCAGTGCCAGCAACAAACTCTGACGCAACAACGATATCAGCAGTAGAAGCAAGAACAATAGCAGCAGCGACAGCAGCTGCTGTTGCAGACGCGTCAGCCATGGTGTCATCAGCTGCAGAAGCACCAGCTGCATATTTTTTTTGCACAGTGACTGCAACCATTTTTGATGTTCTGTATACATTCAGAGTTTCTGCCTCGTCTAGAAATCTCTTAATAAAATGCATTTTTCTGCGAACGTCCCCCCCTTTATAGGAATAATTTAACTGTTTTCTTTGTCTAGAAAGGTGAAAAAATAAAACCTCTGTCATGAATATAATAATTACTATTAATACATCTCTGACTACCACTATTATTATTACTACTATTCCTCAGTATTACTGATTCCCAGTCCACTACCATAAACGCCTCCACTCCCACAGGCAGCTGTACTTGTACTGCAATCCCAAAATAGTTGACAGGATAGTATAAAGTGTAGTATAAAGACAAGTAACTGACAGAGTTCAGACGTTTAAAAGCAACGTGAGCAACACTAGAACGTATTTATTTAAAAAACAAACGTTTAGGTCCTGAATCAAGTCTCGCTTTAAATCAAAGAAAAAGTGCGAGGATGAGTTAAAGTAACAAGTGGCATTCCCCAAGAATCAGTACTAGGGTTACTATTGTTCCTGATATTAAGACTGACATCGAAGTTGAGGTCTACACAATCCCGTGATCTGGATTGTCCACCTCCATGAAGAGATACAAAGAAACTGGTTAGCGGGACTTAAGCTGTGGAAGTGGGAAGTACAGTGATTGCACTCTGAAGTGTGGGTGGGGATGTTTAAAATTCAAAGGGTCATTAGAATTGCGATGTCCACGAGTTTCTGTCAAGTCAGCTGTTGAATGATGTGATGAAACTCATCATTAAATGCTTGATATTATGAGAAGCAGATCTGAAGCAGCAATACTTTGATCACATAACACCATTGAGCAGAATCAGGGCACCTTCACTACTGAAAGATTTTTATCACAACTCGCCTTGTGTGACCTGATGACATCTCTACGAAGACCTCTGTGTCACAGAGGGCTACTGACCCTGGAACATGACTCAATGGAATAATATATATACCTTCGTATCTGTGTACCTCACCAGATGGAGAATATATATATGGGAGTGTAGTAAGTAGTCCGATATTTGAGAAAGGTTGTCTGAGTAAAACTTACCCTGCTATACGTGTTTGTGCTATTCTTCTAAGAACTAAGCCTATCGACCATTAATGGAACATGTATACAAGGCAAAGAGTACGAAGCAATTTCACATCCCTCCCAACCCCACCCTCTCTCTCTCTCTATTCCTTCCCATGCCTTTATTCCATCCTCTTTACCCTCCCTCCAATTTATACTCCTTTCCCTGCCTGCCTGCCTCCCAGGAGTGTTCCTGACACACTGACATATCTTCCGTGCGTGTGTGGTGACTATGAACAAAACCCCATTTACTTAAGAGCTGTGTGATATGTATCATCCAGACTCTTACATATGGCTGTGAAAAATACACCTGCACGTCTGGGGGGGGGTGAGGTAGCGGGCTTCTTACAACTTTTACACATGCTGAAGTAGAGTAAATTACTGCAGATCAAAAACTACTATTACTACTACTACTACTGCTACTACTACTATTACTACTACTACTACTACTGCTGCTACTACTATTACTACTACTACTACTACTGCTGCTACTACTATTACTACTACTAATAATAATAATAATAAAATACAATAATAGTAATAAAATATTTTTTTTCTAAATGTTTAAGTGAGAAGGGTTGAATTTGAGGAACTACCTAAAATAGGCCATTAGGCCTATTGCTTCTTCATTCTTACATTTCTATCCTCCATTTCCATTTTTTTTTTCAATCTTAGTTTTTAAAAGACTTCATTTACTCCTTACTAGCAATTTGGAAAAAAAATATATATTCAAGGGGGAAGCACTACACCCACAGGGGTTCACACAGTTTTTGGGAAAGGGAGGTAATCAGGTTGGATCAAAGGGAGGAGAGGACAATTCTAATTGATTTAATCAAGAGCCCTTCGCTGGCATCAAGATTACTTCACTGATATCAAGAGCCCTTCACATCAAACAACCTTCATTGACATCAAGGTATCTCCTTCTAAAGCACTACTTAATAAAAATGTTGATTAATATGATATATCTGTATTAATATCTTAACTAACTGAATTTTCAATAAACTTTGTTGACTTGTTACACCTTAAACCATTTACTTGCTCTTTATTTGCATTATTTTTTCCATCCATTATTTATATATATATATATATATATATATATATATATATATATATATATATATATATATATATATATATATATATATATATATATATATATATATATATATATGCAAAACAACCACTGTGAAAGAATAGAGAAGTTCCAAGCGCTTTCGTGACTACTCACATTATCAAGGAAGAATGAAAGTAAAGCATCAGAGGAAGGTATATAAAGGGGTAGCCCACACCTCACTATCAGATCCCACAACAACGAAACACCTGACGCGAGACAGCAGGCCCGCCGGCCCAACTAGACAGGTCCTTCATGCAACCCACCAACAAACTAGTTCTGTCGGCGGGCCTGCTGTCTCGCGTCAGGTGTTTCGTTGTTGTGGGATCTGATAGTGAGGTGTGGGCTACCCCTTTATATACCTTCCTCTGATGCTTTACTTTCATTGTTCCTTGATAATGTGAGTAGTCACGAAAGCGCTTGGAACTTCTCTATTCTTTCACAGTGGTTGTTTTGCATATTCTGAAATCACCTGTTTACTGTGATCTTATTGCTTTATATATATATATATATATATATATATATATATATATATATATATATATATATATATATATATATATATATATATATAATTATATATATATTCATTTATTAGTCAATATATTTCCTTGTACTCCCCCACGAACACAAATCCCTATTCATTCATTCATTCTCTCTCTCTCTCTCTCTCTCTCTCTCTCTCTCTCTCTCTCACTAAACCTCCAGTCATGATCAGACAACCTTTGCTATGATAATACAAAGTTTATGGCATTTTATTGTGAAGACTTTCCGTTCACCAGTGACTATCAACTGATAGTCTCTGTTGAGAGACTATCAGTTGATAGTCAAGAGAGACTATCAGTTGATAGTCTCTAGGGTGAGCGAAAAATCTCCTCGGTAAAATACCAAAAACCGCATATTGTGTTATATTAACATACTCGTCAGTGTAACAAAAATACAATCCCCCTCCCCCACGCACTTAACGTACACACACACACTACAACTCCAGCTTCCTTACTTGGTTCTAGAGGTAGTGATGTTTTTGTTGTAGAAATAACCGTGTCTAATACCGATGAACCTCTCCACAGCCATGGTAGAGACCAGCAAGTGTGTCACCAGGCTGATCAACATCATGGAGAACCCGTGAAAATTGCACAGGGGTACCTGTAACCACAGGGGAAGGGACGGGGGTTAAAAAACAAGTTAACGAAAGGGGGGTGTTGATACTAGGGGGAAGGAGGAAGAGAGGAAGTAGAGAGAATTCACCAACAGCCCACATGGCGACATTTCGGTTCATCCTAAACTATTGCCAGTGTCAAGTCACAAACTTGATAAGGGTCCAGGAAGGAGCGAAACGTTGTCACAAGGTTCCACTCCATAATGTGGGTTTTTCATGAATAGTTCCAGGTTAGGTTAGGTAAGACTCGTCAGGAAACAGGACAAGTGTTTCCTGACGCGGGTCTTAGTCAGATAATCCACGGTAATGTGATTTCAGTGAAAGCAAAGAAGCTAAGCGGAGGTTAGTGAGAGTAAGGGTGGAAACTAGGGCAGAGAGGAGAGAGGGGAACATGGCAACTAAGGGGTAGTGAAGAGGCGGGGGAAGGGTAAAAGAGGGATAATGATTAAAGGGTAATGAGAGGGTGGATGAATGAGGGGTCTGGAGGAGAGGTGGTGAAGATAGCGAAGACCACAGGCTATATTGAGAGAATCTTAGGAAACGAGAGAGAGAGAGAGAGAGAGAGAGAGAGAGAGAGAGAGAGAGAGAGAGAGAGAGAGAGAGAGAAAAAGAGAGAGACAGATAGAGACAGACAAAAAGTGACGTGCAACATTATCAGAAAATTATATCAATATATCGCAGCAATACAATATCGCAGTTAAAAAACTAAAAAAAAAAAAGACAAATACAATAACGTGACCAATACATTAGATGAATGTAAGAGAATGTTCACAAAAACTGAAGAATGTTTTCCTCTTTTCTTAATTACACAAAATAGAAAGCATTAACTCTCCTCTCATCCATTTTTCTCAGAATTGGTTCGTTAGCAGAGAAATTCTGAGAAGCTGTAAATTTTCAAGAATTTCATTTCTTCCTAATCATGAAACTGTATATAAATATATAAATATATATATATATATATATATATATATATATATATATATATATATATATATATATATATATATAATGTGTGTGTGTGTCTGTGTCGCGCCGAATAGGTAAAACTTGCGATTTTGGCATAAATAGCAACGCTCTTCTTGCCGAATAAGGCAAGCGACAATTTGTGTATGCAATAAATTCTCAAAAATCATTCTAAACTTGACGAAAAAAATTATTTCACTGCGTTTATTATTAAATTATTGTAAACTTATCTAAAATATATTTAGTTGGATTAGACTAAATTAAATTGCACTTGTTATAATAAGGTTAAATAAGTTTTTTAAGCTTCTGATACAAAATTATTAATCTTTACATTAACATAAATGAAAAAAAAATATACCTTTAAACGTACAAGAGAAAATTTTAGAAAGGACTTAAATTTAAACGGGTTCTTGCTAATTGATCAATTTTACCTATTCGTAAGCTCCTGATGAGTTGATTGCAACACGAAAGGCCTAGAGATATTCAACTCGCCATGTGGTTGTTTTGCATCTTATATCACTTGTTACAGATTTAATCCATCAAGTTCAAATGTTGATCTTTGACTCTCGTGAGCATAAAGCTCTACCTTATATAGCCTTTGAAAATACAAATAATTAGTGTACAATATGACTCACGAAATCGTAATGACACGATTGCAAACAAACCATACCACGGGCGGGATTTGAACCCGCGGTCAGTCTCAAAACTACAGACCGTCGCGTTAGCCACTGGACCAGCTGGCTGGTCCAGTGGCTAACGCGACGGTCTGGAGTTTTGAGACTCTGACCGCGGGTTCAAATCCCGCCCGTGGTATGGTTAGTGTACAATAGCTCGCGAAATTGTTAGTCTTCAGACTTTGATAATACAAGATCATGATTACGAGAACTTGATCTGTAACCACAACTTCGCTACACGTCTCACAAATATGGTAGGTTATATTGCACATGCTTTTTGTCCGCAAATGCGGAGGTTTTTGATCAAACTCTGCGCGAGACTTACCCCTCCGACCCATCTGCCGTGAACGTAGGCCACCAACGCCGGGGAAGTGGTGAGCACCTTGCCTATTAGGTCGGTCCAGATGAGTGTACTCAGTAACACGAAGAAGACTGTACGAGAATGCTGAGGTCTCGTGGTAGTGTAGAGGTAATATAGTGCCCAGATCTGACCTGTTGAGAGAGTCGTGTATTGAGTCGGCGAGACAGAAAATAAGACACTTTGTGGGGGTAATGGAGTTTTATTAAGAATTTCGCCCCTAGGGGGTGAAACGTTGCTGGTGAATAACACGTCACACTGAAATGTCATAACCCGCATTCTGTGTCGTATTTACATAATGTCAGTATAGAGATATTTATTGTTTTCTTTGTCAAGTCGTTGATCATAAATTTCTTCCGTGTGATTTTTGTATTAACCACTTAAGGATAGACGTAAAGACTCATCCGGATAGTAAAACCCAGGCGATGAACTCGTGAGTTTAGGATTGAGAAACCTGACGGCTAAGTCAGACCCGGAGAGCAAATCCTAATTGCTAAATCTACAGCCTGTCTCAGGGATCACGGTCTCTGTTGGTTAGGATCAAAACAAACTCCATTTCCTCACCTGTTACTCCACTGAGACACAGAAGAATAGGAGAGACGATGGTGGCTCCTGGAAGGCCGTTGAGTGCTGAACATGTGACGTTGGGCTGACATATCACCGTCAGTTGGGTATCAGTCATGCTGTCTGTTTCGGTGTGGCAATTGCAGAGCATGGAAGCTATCTCCTGCTGCTGCTGCTGGTGGAGTTCCATACCTTCAGTAACGCCGCCCACGCCTACGTCAACCTGTTGAGACAGCATCTTCCCTAGATAACGTCTCCACGTCTTGGTGTGTGGCCTGTGGGTGGAAAGGTGGAGTAATTAGTAGGGAGTCGATGGGATAGCTGTATATGGTAAAGACATACAGCAGAAGACTTGGAAGTCTACAACGAAGTTATCTGTTGGGAATAATCGTCTATTTCTGCCTACCTAAGCAACAATCGTGTATAATCTAGGTGTGAGAGGCAAGGATAAAAAATCAAAGGCTCTCTATGGGTGATGAAGGTCGGAGATTAAGTGGAAGGTCAGTAAGGTGGCCGTGGCTAAAATTTTGGGTTATTTGGATGTCCAGACGTAGGTGGAAGGTTTGGTTTACATGGGCACTTCAACGCTATATAAGCCGATTACCTCAAACTACTTTTGATCTTCGCAATTCTTCTTTGTATTGGACCGATGAAGCCACTGCGTGGCGAAACGTTTCCACGATAGATACCCAAATGTTGCACATGTGTCTAATTTATCAACTTCTCGGTTCTCTGAACCATTTATGTACAATAAACAGCAGCCGAGTTTAATGACTCGCATCAGCTGGTGCTCAAGACAGAGCGGAATGTAAATAGTTAAAACGTGTTCGTAACTGTATGCAAATTTAGCATAAATCGTATAACTACACGTATTAACATAATAAAAATATTTAAGTTTAAACGAGAGAAAAAAACTGATGAAATACGAGAGACAATTCAATAAAAGAAAAGTAAATAAACGCAAGTCAGAGAGAGGGTAGACGGCACCTTTGAGTTTACACTTGTGTGTGATGGAAGTGTGATCCATTCCTTGGCCAGAAAATATCTGGTTACTAAAGGCCTGACTAGCTAATATCTGGTCACTGAAGACCTGCACAGTCACCAACGATATGGTCACCTGTCCAGTAATGCGGGTATATAAATGTTATGGTGTATGTAGCTATGTACGTTAAATTAGGAATGCATGTGTAAAAACCTGTTATAAAGTGTGTGTGTGTGTGTGTGTGTGTGTGTGTGTGTGTGTGTGTGTGTGTGTGTGTGTGTGTGTTGTTTGAGTACACAAGTGTATGTTTGTGAATTTAACAGCGCCCCCTCCCTTCGTCCGTGGCTATCGTGTTGATGTACGTTGGTGATGCTTAGTGCAAGATGAGTGTGTCATGACTGGTTGTGGTGACACTAATGCAACAATAAACTTGTACTCTCTGTATGTTTATATTTTTTAGGTATATAATATTAGATCAGGATTCTTTCAGTTGGCCAAGAACTTGTTACTCCGCTGTGTTACGATGATATCTTCATGTATTCCATTTCCTCCGTGTAAGAGATTGGCTGCTCTGAGAGATGGTATTTCCCTTAGTAAAAACTTCAGCTCTGCTGGAACGAAGCCTTTGAAGCTGCCGTAGCAATTGAAGCCTTGATGGATTACTTTACTCTGTATCCTCAACGCCTACTGAAGCCTCCCAGCTCAGGCTGACATTTCATCACCCGACGTATGCAACCCATCCTAAGTGATGGAAAATGACAGTAAACATATGACTAGCTTTAGCTCCCATTATGCAACTATCACAGTAGAATAGCAGCACACTGGAGGCGTCCACACCATGGAACTATCAGAGAAGGATAGTAGCACACTGGATGCGTCCCCACCATGGAACTATCAGAGAGAGAAGGATAGTAGCACACTGGAGGCGTCCCCACCATGGAACTATCAGAGAGAGAAGGATAGTAGCACACTGGAGGCGTCCACACCATGGAACTATCAGAGAGAGAAGGATAGCAGCACACTGGAGGCGTTCCCACCATGGAACTATCAGAGAGAGAAGGATAGTAGCACACTGGAGGCGTCCACACCATGGAACTATCAGAGAGAGAAGGATAGTAGCACACTGGAGGCGTCCACACCATGGAACTATCAGAGAGAGAAGGATAGCAGCACACTGGAGGCGTTCCCACCATGGAACTATCAGAGAGAGAAGGATAGCAGCACACTGGAGGCGTTCCCACCATGGAACTATCAGAGAGAGAAGGATAGCAGCACACTGGAGGCGTTCCCACCATGGAACTATGAGAGAGAGAAGGATAGCAGCACGCTGGAGGCGTCCACACCATGGAACTATCAGAGAGAGAAGGATAGTAGCACACTGGTTGTTCCCACTATCACATAGAATTGAGTAGCAACTCACTGTTGATGCGCCCTATTGGAAAAGTAGCGTGTTTTAGGGCGTATGAGTGTGTGAGGGAGGGGAGGTTTTGCCTCAAGTTTTTCCTGTGCGTTTAAGAAGGCATATTGGTTACGTCCTAACGTCCTCTGCCCAACAATTTCGGAATACTGGGATGTTACTGTACTCGACCCTTAGAACCCAGTACTTGAGTCCCAAAACTTTCTACTCGATTTTTAAAATTTGATATCAGAGTTATGAAACCAGACATTTGTAAACATGTGTGTGTGTGTGTGTGTGTGTGTGTGTGTGTGTAGGGGGGGTCATCAACAGCAGTAAATGAATTACGCTGCTCATCACATTCCCTTAATCACACGTTTAATGCATATAAATGAGACATTGATGAACCAAAAATTGTAACAGTGATTAAGTAGCACAAGACGAGCACCGATGAAATTTTTTTATATCCATTTTGAAGTTAATGTGACCAATATTATTTGTCTTTTTCCTAATGGAAATCTTATACTACTACTACTACTACTAATAATAATAATAATCTTTATTTCTACAATCACATGATACAACTTATACAGACCATAGCTGACATCAGTGACATACTATGTAGAAAGAGGTTATGCAGAGCATTTCGGACAAATTCAGTTTTGTTCCCAGGATGCAACCCACACCAGTTAGCTAACACCCAGGTACCTACTTACTGCTAGGTGAGCATGGACAGCAATTGTCTTAAAGAAACACATCCTAATGTTTCCCCCTGTACCGGGGATCAAACCACGGACCTCAGTGTGAGAGATGAGTGCACTACCAGCCGAGCTACGGGACACCCTAATCATTATAATTTTAATTGATATAGTAATTGTATTAGACCCTAATTTGTCATGGAAAAATGATTAAAAGTAATATGCAGACCAGATATTTAAAAAAATGGATACATGAGTAGTGTACTGCTACTCTATTCTATAGGATGAGAGAAAAGTGAGGGGAGGGAAGGGGGAAGAATGAGGGCTAAGGAATGAGGGGTTGCAAAGGATGAGGGTTAAAAAAATGGAAGGGAAGGAAAATGGAGGAATATGGTAGATATGAAAGGTGCATGAGAGGAGACGAGAGGGGAATAAGAGAGAGGGGAGAGCAAAAGAGGGAAGATAGAAGGGAAAGAACAGGGAGAGGATAGAGGTAAAGAGAAGGGAGAGTAACATTGCGACAAGCAGACATGCTGAAAAATTAGCACGCCTTGAGTGAAGTGAGAGGGTAGCACCAATTCCTTGGATCAAGAACCTTTCATCAGCATAAAAGTCTCTGTGGTGAATGAATGAATGATGGTGAAGGTGTTTCCTCTTCTGGGTCGCCCCACCAGGGTAAGAGGCGACCAAGGGAGTAAATATAATAATATTTCCTCTATGAAGGAAGTATTGTGTTAGTATATTAATCGTTGATGTTTACTCACCCGGATGTATTCTACGAGGATGTAATGAATTATAAAAGGCAGCAAGTGCTAAAACCATTGAAATTTATATATTATCGAGGCCCTTTATCACCATTATCACAGGTCCTTGATAATGTGAGGAATCACGAAAGCGCTTGAAAGTTCACTATTTTTCACAGTGGTTGCTCTACATATTGTGATATCTGTTTACTGTGATCTTATTACGCATATATTTCCTAAGATGTGCACCTTCATATGATAACACTATACCGCACGAATATGACAGTATCCTGAGGCCAGATTTTTACGAAAGTACTTAACCTTACTCTAGAAGACGGGCAGTGGAACCAAGCTACACTTCCAGTTTGGTGTCCACAAGTCATCACAGATTGCGCTACCTGCTTTTCTGTCCTCGTGTATTGCATCCAGAGGGCTTGTAGCAGCGATTCTCCCTGAACATCTTAGGGACAAGATTGGAGTTCAGGACCAAAAGTTCATTGACGGAGCCATGATCTGGGATAATCTAACGGGCTTTAAAACCAGACCTGCTCTCCCCAACAACTACAAACAATCGCACTGGGATGATCCAATAGTGGAAAATATAGCCTCAACAATGCTTCAGAGTGTGTCAGGGAAGGATAGAGCCCGCCTCCTGGCAGTGAGAGCCCCTCATGCAGGGGACTTTCTGTTGGCTGTTCCCAACTCCAGCCTTGGCACACGCCTCTACCCACAGACCATCCCCATCGGTGTTGCCCTTCGACTTGCCGCCCCTATTCTCGCCGAACACAGGTGTATTTGTGGCAGTGAAGCAGCAGACCGATTCGGGTTCCATGGTCTTGTGCGCCGTAAATCCTAGGGAAAGATTGCAAGACATGAGGAGGCTAATAACATTATCAAGAGGAGCCTCACAACAGCTGGATGCCCAGCAGTAAGGGAGCCACCCCAGCTATGCAGATCTGATGGCAGCCAGAAGCGTCCAGATGGCATCACCCTTCAAGCCTGGACAGACGGTAAGCAGGTGGTGTGGGACTATACATGTGCATCTACCTTGGCTGATACCTATCTCCAATACACCAGGGAGGAAGGAGGGGCAGCTGCCAGCTTCAGGGAGTCCCAAAAGTCTAGAAAATATGGAGAACTTGCCCATCACTATATGTTTGTTCCTATAGGCTCAGAGACCCTTGGCTCATGGGGAAAGAATGCATCTAAATTCCTTAAGGAGCTGGGCAAAAGACTCATCAGGGTAACTAGGGATCCCAGGACAGCTAGTTTTCTGTTCCAGCTGCGGCTGTTCAAAGGGGTAATGCCTGCTGTATTTTGGCCACACGCCCCAGCTCTGAGGAGCTGGATGAGATTTTCGCCTTATAATCGGTGATACACACGTAACAACATGTACCGTACATGCCACCTTTATATATATATATATTAGTGTCGTGCCGTATAGGTAAAATTGGTC